CGTGTCCCAGCACGTGTGCTGGGGTCATCACGTGAGTGGCACTGTCCATGTCAAGTTGTGCTGCGCAAGGAGGAACCGGCCCCCGTCCCGCTGCAGGGCCAGGGACTTCCCTGCGCCACATCCCACCGCCGCGGGCAGGAAGTCAGAGGCCTCATTACAATGGGACTTTGTGCCGTAAGCGTATTACTCAGCACTGACCTTGTGCAATTCTGCACGGTATTCAGCCTGCTGGGTCAGCCGAGGATACACGGCCAGCACGCCCGACGGCTGCCCCTGCACCCCCAGGGTGCCCCAGCTGCAGCCCTGGCTCCTGCCATGGCCGTGGGGGGGGCATGGGGGCCCCCTGCCCCATGGCAGCAGGATGTGAGCCTGTCCCTCTGGGCCCGGAGCTGGGCTGGTGAGGACGCGAGCAGTCATTGGGCAGACATTCAGGGGTGCCAGGTGGTGCCCGTGGGGCTGAGACATTTCCTTCCTCCCCAGGGGTCTCTGGAGGTGAGCCTGAGCCAGCCCACTCGCAGGAGCAGTGGCTCAGAGCGGTGAGTGACCCCCTGCCTCTGGCCCGCTGGGCATCCTGCCGCGTCCCTTGCGTGGTGCTGTGGGAGCTGGGGGCCTGGCATGCCGTGGGAGCATGCACTGGTGCCGGTGTGCACCGTACCATCCTGCCCACGAAGCTGGCACCATGCTGTGCCAGTCTATCGGCTAGAGCAGAGGATGGCAGAGCCAGGACTGCTGCCCTCCGTCTCCATCCCTGGTGCATCCTCGGGCACGTCTCCATCCTTCTGCCATGCTGGATGGCTTGGCTGCCACAGGCTTAGCCAACGGGGGCTGTGCATGGCTCCTCCTGTGCCAGGAGGCTCTGTCGGGGTGGGAGGCTCTGCCGGGCCATGTCCACCACCGGAGGCTGTGCCCTGGGGCAGTGTGTGCCCGGGGAGATGGGGTGCCGGGGCACAGGGGCCTGCTTGCTCCCTGTATTCCCAGTGCCGACACCGCTGCCAACATTCCTTCCTGGTTGTTCATTTTCCGAATTCCTTGGCAGGGCCGCGACTGCAAACGGCTTATTTTTAGCCAGGGTCATCTGCACCCGATGCCTCTGCTGCGTTCCCACCGTGGGGTTGCGGGGTGCCCGGAGTCCCCCAGGCCAGCTCCCCACTCAGGGGCCATGGGAGGCACCCGTGGGCACCCGGGCTCAGCCACGTGTCATCCCCAGGTCTCTGCTTGTCGCAGAGGAGATGCGCAGCCTCATCGTGGAGAAGGGCCCAGGGCCAGTGGAGGATGACCCTGCAGCTCTCGTGCAAGGTGGGCACAGGCAGGCGGGGGGCAG